AAAAAATTATTAATATTAACAACATAGTTTATACATATATATATATATATATTTAATGTTTTTCAATAATCTACAAATAATCTAAAAACTTTAAANTTATCGCAGTTAATTTTTAATAAAAATTAATAAAAATGTAATAATAAATGCATTTTGAGATGTTTAACTCATTTTTATTAATAAAGTATCTACTTTTTCCAAGATTGTAAGTCATGGAAAAGCATTTTGCATTGTCATATTGAGTGCGTTCAGACAACTCGACGGTTAAGAGATCATCACTTATGATAGGACTATTCTTCAAAATCTGCCGCGCTTCCAAAAGTATGATCCAATCAGAAGTAATTATCTCTCAACCGTTGTGCAACTGTTGAGTTGTCTGAACGCACCCATTGTCATACGCTACAAGCACGCAACGAAACATTGCTTTCTAGCCTCAGTGTCTTGCGTTACGGGTGGAAGCGAGGCAGAACATAGTATGTCTGCGCTCTTTCACGAGCCGAACAGCCGAGCGTGGCGTCACGCACACGGACGGCAGTTCTCGCTGTATGCGTGCCCCCACCACCTCGGTGCTCTTGGTGCTGGCCGGCCCGATCTAGCAACACTGACTCCCGGAGCTCGTCAATTCAGGCAGGGTTTCCTCTCGTCGACTGCACCAACGTCCGCACGGAACTCCGTTACACGGCACGGGAAACTAAGTGATACGACACGGGAATCCAACGAACACACGGAAGCCCGAGAGATGCCTCCTTGCGGCTCAGCTGATCGCGACCAAGAGAGCAAGGATCTCGTTTGATAAGCGGTCGATACCCTGGATAGCGCTGAGGTCGCATAGGTCAAGTCGCGCGGGCAACTCAGGACGCAGGNTTTGCAGCGCGGTTCGCAAGCTCGCCCACANGCAGCAGGATTAGCAGGCCGCGAAATTTGAACGCTCGCAGGATTCAGTTTGCGGTNATGCAGCAGCGCAAGCAAAATAAAAGCGCAGCAGGACGGGACGGCGTCTCGTGCATGCAGCAACGCAGTAAGCAGCCCTATTAGACAAGTCAGGCATTTGCAGGATTGTGGCAGTGCTGGTTCTGCTGGTGGATAGCGATTTGGCGACGGGTCGTTCCGCCGTTCCTCTCCGTCCGCTCTGCTCGCTCATTGCCCGATGCTACGCTAAAATTCCGCGTAGTTCTCTCCGCAAGGCACCTTGCATGCTGGGCTAGGAGCTCACCCTTAGCAACCCTGACGTTACCACTTTTCTCTCATTTTCTTTCTCCTCCTCGTCATCCGGTGATGTCGTTGAAAGTCCCTCGATAATACTCGGAACGGTGAGGCGCCAAAGTTACATACAAAAAAAATATAAAAAATAAAAGCTTATTATTGCATGCAAGCCCTGGAGGATCTTGGTGTTCTTACGGCCGATTTCTTCATACCTCTCGATAGCTATCCTCTGGATAAAGATATCTGTGAAATAAATAAAAATTCATTTTCTTCACTAAAACCTCTGGTTATGTATCTAGCAGATAGCTATTCGTACGCTACCAGCCTTCGTCACAAAAGATACTAGAATTTTTCTATAGTATCGTATTCTAATAATAAAAGCTGCGTCCCGATGTTCACTGCCAATGGTGAGAAGCTATAACACGTGACGTGAAATATAAGTGATTAGTACTGGTTAGAATATCGAAATGTCGCCAAAATATGTTTTACAAGAAAACAAAATTGATTTGATTTTTTATGAAAGTGGAAAAGTAGAAAAAGAAAAACAATGGAAAAAGAAAAACGAGCTGCAAATTTTACAAAAACCGAAATCGATTTATTAACCCTCGGAGAACACACTGGGTCAATTTGACCCTGTTCGTCGACTTTGATCAAAATATTTTGCTTCAATTTTGCTTTTTTGTAACATATTTTTTACAATGTTAATAATGTTAACGACACTTTAAAACTATATAGGCATATTCCAAACTGTTCAAAATATATCCGAAAATTTTTTCAAGCCAATCGGATAAGTGCATTTTAATTGGTAGCATCTCAAAAAGTGGACAGGGTCAAATTGACCCAGATTGTTCTTCTTGATTGAAAAAATAGGTGTGTTCCCCGAGGGTTAATCGATATAGTTTTAAAGTATAAACATATTATAGAAAATAAAACAACCAGTGCAACGACATGGAGAGACAAAGACGAAGCTTGGGACAAAATTTGCAGTAAATTTAATGCAGTTTCAGGAAATTTTCCTCGCTCTAAAAAAANAATTNGTGCCAAGTATGACTCAATAAAAAAGACTATACGCAAAAAATGCTCATTACTCAAGAACGAACAAACAAAAACTGGTGGTGGTCAGTGCTCAGTGCCCACGTTGACAAGTTGCGAAGAAAAAGTTTTATTATTAACACCGAACACTACGATAGGACTCGAATCTAGATTTGATAAAGATTTGAATTATGCAGGTAAGTATCACTTTATGAGTATCATTACCCATAAATGAAATAAGAGAAATATATCATGTTTATTTTTTTCAGAACCAGGTCCAAGTAGTGACAGAAGACAGTGGACTACAGAAAGAGTTATTAGTACGACACAACAAGATATAGAAAAATATGGTCATTTATTTNTAGTGCTAATAAATATTTAATTATAGATGATCAGATTGATTGTTCCTTAATAATACTATATTTTTTTAGGGCCTGGATCAAGTGCCATAGAAAACAATAATATCATTAAATTTGTGGACAACGAAGATTATGGTTAGTATTTGAATTAATATTACTTAAGAATTTTATGAAAATTTCACTTTAATCTTTTTAACAGATCTTCTTGAATATTTAAAAAAAACCAGAAAATCTGGACATATCTGGAGGAGGTACTAAAGCAACAAAAATAAGTCCAGGTCCAGGTAAAGACTTCGTTTTTATTTTGCAGTGTCTCAATAATAAGAAAAGTATTAAACATATCAGTTTGTTTTTTAGAAAAATCAGCAGATCACATCAAAGAANCCCATTTGAAAAGAAAAAGCAGTACGGATTCTCACGAGAAGAATACACAAAAAGGTATAAAATATTACAAAATTTTTAAATCACTAATTTAAGCAATATTAAGCATTATAATTTAAGCATATATTTAATTTAAGTACATATTTTGTNGAAACTGATTCTAAGTTTATTTTTAAAAGAAAACGAACCAAATCTGCTGATAACTTTCGCAGTATGCAAGAGAACATGNAATTAAAAAATGAAATTTTGGTGCTACAGAAGGAGTTATTAGTACGAGAAATAGAAGCTAAGTCTGAAATCACTACACTAACAATTGACAATCTAAAGTTAGATGTACAGATTAAAAGATTAACAATACAGAAACTCGAGATGGATGTTGTTGATGGTTAGTAAGTATGTTTTCGTCCTACTTTGTAATATACATTTTTGTAGTATACAATTTTTATGTGTACATATATGTGTATATATATATATATATA